ATATTAGTAATTAAAAAAATTTATAATTATATATATATTTTTTTATTATCATATAATAAATTATATATTATATATATAGATATACTATATACTATATACTATATATATGTATATATGTACACTTTGACTTGCCTATACACTATTAAGCTACTTATTCTTCGGTGAATGCACTCGAGTCGACCCCGACGAAAATAACATGCCACGACATTGCGGATGCACTTTCCACTTTCTTGATCTAGAGGTCTATTATAAATAAGACTGTAGAGAAATAAAATGAGAAGGGACATTAATACTCTTACATATAAACAGACATAACAATAAATATAAAAATAATTAACATAATCTATTTCTTATAATTTTTATTATATTATATATATTATATATATTTATATATATATAAATTATTATGAAATATTAATTATAATAATAATAAAAAAAAATATATATATATATATATACATATATATAATAAAATATAGAGAACAGATTATTTGAATAGTATAACAGCAAAATTAATAATAATTATGTTTAATTATAGAAGATTTATCTGTATATATATATAGATGTATTATATTATATATAAAAAAAATTATTATATATATAAAAAACATATATATATATAAATTTTCCGGTACCGGGAATCGAACCCGAGCCTCCTGGGTGAGAGCCAGGTATCCTAACCACTAGACTATACCGGATATATTAACTTTACGTATTATTTTATTTATATACACGTAATATATTCTCATATATAATATAAGTATAATAATAGTAATAATAATAATATTTAATGTAGTCTTATTAAATTAGAAAAAAAATAAGAATAAATTCTCAATTTATTCAAATGAAAGGTCATTGTTATTATTTCTTTTTTTTTTTTTTTGCTTTTTATCCTTTTTTCTTTCCTTTTTTTTTCTTTTTTACAATATTTTTCGTTTTATTCATCTCAGTAATCTTGTTGGCCGTTCCTTCGCAGCTCGATAAAATTTCCATTCTTTTTAATTTTGGAATCGGAGGAGGCTTTGGTTTGGGTACTGGTACTTGTCTATAAAATAAAAAAGAAAAAGGAAAAGTAAATAAAAAATAAATGATTAATAAATATAAAGAAGTAGAAGAAGAAGAAAAAAAAAAGTAAAACAATTTATTCAAGTAAGAATAATTTTATTTAAATCTAAATTATAAATTACTTGATGGCCATGTGCAATTCCTGTGTCATTTTATCTTCTATTACGTTTACCCAAATATTTGATTGCGTCTTTGGCTTCAAACATAATCCTTTGTGCAGGCGACATCTGTAATCATCAAGTTCATCCTGCGCTTGACATTTCTTTTCCCATGCCTTTTCCCATTTGTGAAATTTTTCTTTAATGCAAGCTTCCTTTTGTTTAGCAGCTTCTGTAACTTTGATCTTTGATGATATCTTTTTTGACTTGCTGTTCTTCTTCTTCTCCTTTTTTTTCTTCTTATCTTGACGTTCAGCCATTATTTTGTACAATCTATTATCTGAACAATTTTTATGTTATCATTTGCATGATCTCTTATTTATTTGATACGTCTCCTCCATTTCATTGTAATAAAAATATTTAATTTGTAAAATAATTAATAGAAATCATGATTGAAAAAGTTTGATGTTTGGTATGACTTAAAAAAAAAAAAAAAAATGAAAACAGTGAAATAATTCTCAACAATTTCATGTCAATTGATCAAACTTTTAAGCTGAATTCATACTGGAAAAAAAAAATATATATATAATAGAAAAAAATATAAGCTTTGAAGAAGATTCAATAAAGATGATTCCTTCACTCGCCATAATTTGTTTGTTCGTTTGTTTGTTCTCAAGGACTCAACAACAGGTCTTTCTACAACTACAAGTTGGTTCTTCTTTAATAACGCATCCACACTTTCTTACAGGTTTCTCTTTAAATAGTTCATCAAAAGTAGTTTTCTTTGTGCCACAACAAGGAGCACAGGTCTTTTCTTTAACCGATTGAGGCGAACAACATGATGGGCAAGTATTTGTTGTGGCAGGTTGTGGAGAACCACAAATTGAAACAGGTTTTACTGGTTGAATACATGGTGGATAAAGAGAACAACATTTTGAGTGCTCTTGTTGAAATTGTTGTTGTTGTTGTTGTTGTTGCGGTCTAGAATAGGATAATAATAAATATTGAAATTAATAATAATTTTATTTGAATAAAATAAATCATATGAAATTAAAAAAGATCTTAACTAACTTTGATGACTTGGTACCATTGCAAATTGGTGGACAAGATGGACAACAAGGCAAAGGTTCAGATTGTGGTTGTTGACATTTGTCGACTTCAGATTTGACCAAAGGTGTACAAGTTTTAGGACTTGTTTTTGGACGACAACAAGTCTTGAAACAAGTTTCAGGACATGTTTTTGGACGACAACAACTCTTTCCTTCACCACTCCCATCCTTATTCTTTTTTACAGTACAATTGCATCGTATAAATTCTGGCAAACATTTTTTCGAAGGTATCTTTTTACATTGAAATACTGGACTATCGTCGGTTCCTTTAAACAAGTATGGTTTTTTATTATGAGGTATTTGGAATTGAGTTATTATTTTTTTTCCAAAACAGGAGACACGTATGAAGAGAGTAACTTCGCCAACACATTGTCCAGTCGCTGTAGCTATCCTAAAAGTACTTTTTAAAGATTTACATGGATTTCCATTATTGAATACACGTTGACTTAATAAATCATTTATCAAATTTCTTAATTGTATCTGATAAGTGCCAATTAACATAACATCTGGTAATACTCCTGGTGGAAGTTTTTTATAAACAGTCATAGTTACAGGAAAACTATGAACTGGTTTTTGAAGTACATTATTGGGTAATGCAAACAGACAAGATTTTCCTTTTTTAAATACTTGAGTGTCACCGCTTAAACAAGCACATCCATCGCTTAATGCTTCTTCATTAATATTGATAGGTGGCAAATTAAGGATCTGTTATACAACATTACTTTTACAAATGATTCTATATAATCATTTTATTTCTAACAATAATAAACAAGTATAACTTGAAAAGAGACGCAGGTCGTCACTGGTAACATTTCTTCATGTATAGCACGTACAGCTGGGATATTAATTTTATCAACCAAAAATTCAATCAGAAATAATTGTTGACTATCATCCATTTTATCGTATCAAATGATTAAATTTAATTAATATTGAAATCATTAATTTACTCACAAATTTTTCTGTTTTTTTTTTTTTACAACATAATGATATATCTAACCATTATACTACAATTTAAAACTGTCATTAGAAAATAATAGGCGGGTGCCGAGCGGGCAGGCGGGGTTGGGGGGAGACGAAGAAAAGAAAAGAAAAAACAATGTTTATATATTATTTAAGATAGATGTCACTCTTTTGGATAAAATTTATAATTATATTATATTGCATACGATAATCATATAAACAATAGAATTATTCAACTATAAGAATTTTCTTATTTTTTCTTTTTCTTTTTCTTCTTCCCTTTCTTTTTTTTCTCCTCAATATCAGCTTGTATTTGACGTGTCTCATGTCTGATCGGTGGTCTTCTTTCAGGACCTTTAGGTGTTCTCATTTCCAATTGCAAATCTGATTTCTCACCGGCACCGACAAGTCCTTTCTTACCAATTCTCAAAATAAAAACGTCATGTTCAGGATCAGACGAACAGTCTTGTCCAGTTGCATCGCTTTCTGGTGAGACCGTTACGGTTGGTTGCTTTTTAACTTCACCATCCAAAAGACCAGAAACTTTGAGAACAACGGCTTTGCCACAAGGTTGAGCAGGACCACGACTTGTTTGAATTGGTCCATTTGGTTTACTTATATCAGTACAAAGATCTTTTTTTGGTGTATCTTGTAATATACTAGGTGGATAAGAAGCTGGTTTAAAAGCTTCCAAGGAACATGAACTTTTAGGATCATTTAATTCATCTTTTACTCTGGCACCAGTTGAACGACCACAAGGTAAACAAGCATGTTCCTCCAATACACATGCACGACAAGGAATATCAATGATTGATTCCTCACAGACATTTTCAATATCTACAATTTTACATTTATAAGCCAAAGATTTTTCATTCAATTCTTCACCTTTAAATATATAATCAGATTCATTATTTATACATTCTGGTGTCTCAAATTCTGTAATAATTGTTTCACCAAACGCGGACATTCTTACATTGAGAAAAACTTTTCCTACTTGTTTCTCATTCATTATCAAAGGTACAGAATCCTCAAATGTTTTAGGTGGTGGTACTTTTCTATGCCAGCATTGTAACAATTCTTTTCTTAATGCAGCAAATTGTTTGGTCAATTCGAATTCTCCAATGCCGATTAAAATATCTGGTTTAATACCCTCCGGCATTCTTTTTCTTATCGTCATTTTAACATTTAATTCCAATAACTTGTCTCTTGTCGTTTCAAGATCCATCGCAAACATAATTGATTTACCAGAATAAAAATATTCAACGTCGTCCGCTATACCAGCTTGTGGGACGAATAAAAAATCAACAGGCGTTATCTCGATTTTATCATCTTCAGTGAAATGTAAAAATTCTAAACCAACGCTAGTAGGTACGAAAAACATTTGATTCAATTTCGCCAATCTTTCGCCGGTTATTCGATGAATAAAAAATTCTAACAGAAAGAGATATTGCTCTTTGTAATCGTCAGCTATTTCTTCTCTTATACCGAAGATCGATGGCGGTGATTTATTCATCTCCAATTTTTTCATCTTATTATTTTTCCTACTGTTTTTTCTTTGTTTCTTCAAATTTTTCTCTCTCATTAGGATAATTATTTTCTTATATATTTTATATATTTATATTTATATAATTATGAATAGAAATCTTTTCTTTTACTCGGAATTAGATTTAGAATCGATCGTTTATACGATCGTAATATATATCGTATCATTTATAGATACTTTTTTCTAATGTTTATTTTTATTTATTTATTTATTTTTTTTTTTTTTTTTAGGTTAGATCGATAGAATAAGCATGAAGTTGATGTATATAAAAAAAATTTATCTGATCCATATATATATCTATATATATATATATATATATATATATATATATATAAATAATGTTTATGTAAGAGCGAGTATAAGGAAGTGAGGTTATGTTTTGGAATATTTTCAATAAATTATATCAAGTAAAGTATTTTAATCGAAAAACATTTCAAGTGTGCCGCCATGTTTATGGTATTCCAATTTTTTTTATCTATTAATATTGAAACATCTAATATTTTTATTTATTAATTATAATGAAAATATTTATTTTTAAAAATATTCTTTTTTCTTTCTTTATTGAAATTTCATTAAAAAAAAAACTTTAAACAATTTCAATAAATATTCTTTAAATAGATATCTTCGCATATTCATTAATGAATAATTAAAAAAAAAAAAAATTGATTAACGAAGGAAAAAAGAAATATTCAAACATTTCTTGAAATTAAATAAAATCGAAAATATTATTAATAAATTTGTTTAATTTTTTAATTATTCTTTTTTTCCCTTTCTTTCCTTTTATTTTCTTTTTATTTCATTATTATTATTATTTTTTTTTTTTTTTAAGTATCCCGAACCTCCCCCAATCGACTATGTTTTCGAGGACGTCTTATTAACGTTTTTATCCGATGGCATATTTTTACACGGCAAGCCAGGACCGTCGCATAAATGTATGGGGAAACAACTTCGTCCCATAAAAAGAAAAATCAGTAAGTTAGCGATTGAAAATAGAACGAGCCAATTAAATCAAAATAGAAACGTTTGTCTCGCATCAATGAGAGAGAGAGAGAGAGAGAGAGAGAGAGAGAAAGAGAGAGAGAGAGAGACTGTACATATCGTGTCTGCCTGTGTGAGAGAGAGAGAGAGAGAGAGAAAGAGAGAGAGAGGTTCTCTACGGTCGATCGCATTTAAACAGCCATCGTCTATGTCTATATAGTGCAATCGAATTAAGCTGATTGGATTAATAAAGGTCCCACGTGATTGTTCACAGCCGACCCCGTGGCGCCACCTACTGAACTCGATTCTCGTACACTTAACACGTTTGCAGAAAAGGAGGGATCTTGGTACGCCCAGTCGAAAGATGCTTTCCTTATTCACGAATTTTCATCTTTTATTAAACGATTGAAATATTCCAATCAAGATAATAATATAGGTATGTAAGTGTATATATATATATATATATATATATGTATGTATATATATATATAATTGTTATCTATATGTTATTAAGAAATTGAGGTTGATTAGATTTTCATGTATCAGAACTGGAATTATCAGAAATAATTGAATATTGAAAGTTCGATAATATTGACATGCTATCGGTGATAGATAAGTGATTCTTAGAGATAATCTGGCGTCATTGATAAAGTAGTTCTTTCCTTTTTATTTATTTATTTTTTTTTTTTTTTCTTTTCTTTTGATATTGAACTATTCTGATACAGATATTTTCTATATTTATTATATAGCTATATATATATATCTTTTTAGATTTTTTAATTAAATAAAAATTGATAGTACATAGTGTCATTAAATAATATTATAGTATTGTATTGTATTATTTTTTTTTTTTTAATACTATACTATTATTTAGTATAACTTTTTATTAATATTATATTATTATTTAATATATTTTAATAACATTAATATTAAATTTATTGGATATACATAATAGTATAACAGTGTTTATATAATACTAATATATATATATATATATATATATATATATATATATAGGGTGTCTCTGTTCTAAAATGTTTGATACATTATATTAACTATAGTTCAGGAGCGTATCAAGATAAACGTCCTATATATAAATATTATATTATATTATTTATATAATAAATAATACTATACTTTATATATATATATAAACACAATTTTTGTATGTAACAATTTATACTAATTTTTTCATAAATAATAGTATACTTTTATTTTTACTAAATATACTCTATATTAAGTATATTTCACTATACTAATATAGAATATACTTTATATTTATAATACACTTTACTAAATAGTATACTTTTTTTTATTAAATAAAATTTATTGAATATAACTATTGTGTGTAATTTTGTAATATATGCGTTTTTTTTTTTTTTTCTTTTAGTATTCTAATAATAATACTATAATATATATATATATCTCAGGATCGTATCAAGTGGATCCAGTGGAATAACTTTTTGGAGCATCCTATATATGATCCTGATTGTGCAATAATGATCATATAACGAATCTCTGATCTTAATAGTCCTCGTCGAATATTAATTGTTCTCGATTAAAAGTAATCGAAATACACACATACATACACACACACACACACACACACATACACACATACATATATATAAATAATGAAATGCATAAGCAATTTCGAGCAATTCGAATATTAACCGCACAAACGATATAGACTGATTAGAATTCTAGGGAACTAATTCTTGAAATACCCTAACGACACTAATTTTTTAATGACTCACCAATTTACCGTATCTTTATTCTACAGGGTGTGCCAAAAGATTTTCGTATGGGTCAAAAATTGATTCAACTTTTTCTTTTTCTTTTTTTTTTGCGGATTCCCGTTTTTCGAGAATTCGCAATTAAATTTGTGATTCTTGTTTTTTTCTTCAAATTAGCCTTGCAGTTTTAAGATCTAAAAAGAAAAGAAAAAAAAAAAGAATAATAAGCAAAAAAAAAATTAATCCGAGGAGAAGTTAACGCAGAGTCAATCTAGAGTACTTTTGGTACATCTGAAAACTTTTGTCGCACCCTATATTAACGAAAATATCTCTCAACATTTTTATCGAATTTTTGTCAAATTAATGCAGTCCTATAGATCGTTTCTTTGTTTTCTTTTTTTTTATTTTATTTTATTTTATTTTATTTCATGTCATTTAATCTTTTTCTTTCTTCTTTCAAGGTTCACTATTTCCAAGATCAAAAAAATACGAGTATCAGTATATTAAGGAGAAACGTTTGGAAAATGTACCGAAGGAAATATTCCTTGATAAATTTCAATGTGGCGCAAAAGAAGCAAAAAAGAAAAATAGAATATCGAAGTATAAATTTTGAATAATTTCTATTTTTTTTTATTTATTTATTTTTTTTTTTTATTTTTTTTATTTCTATTATTTCATATATATATATATATTTTATTTTTTTTTTCTAATTTAAGTGTTTAAGAAAACAGAAAAAAAGAGGGGAAAGAAAAAGAAATTTTTTGTTTCCCTACATATATACAAATAAATTAATAATAATTAATTATAATAATAATAATTAATTAGATCCGACGAGGAGCAGCCATGTTATATTTTGAAGCCGCCATTTTGGTGGAAAGACAAAGGTGATAAAAAAGAATTGAAACTCCCTATAGGTTATATCAACGATTATGCATATGATCAAGCAGAATGCACTGTACAAGGATTTGATTATGCCAATCACGAGATTGAGGTTCGATTTTTATGATACAATTTATTGACCTGATTTCTTCTTTTTTCATTTTTTTTTGTTATGTATTTTTCTTTCTTTTTTTTTTTTCTTCCCTTAAATACCCTCCACGTTCTTTAACTAATCAATTTATGGATAGAAACAATTTGAAGCGTTTTATGAGAATGATCGCGTGAGAATGATAGCGTTGGTGTATGTAATTAAATATCCGGTGTCGTGTTTTATTATGAACGTTTCTAAAAAGACTTTTTCAATTTGTGAAGATTAAGTTATAACATTTCTTTTTTATTTTTTAAATATTTTTTTTAAATCAAATCTTTAAGGCTTTTTTTTTAAGCGAATTATCAACATTGTCTTTATTGAATCTCTTAAATTTTTTTTCGATTGAATTCATAGTATTTTTTTCTTCTTTTTTTTATTGAATTTTCAAAAATTTTCTCCTTATCATTTTTATTGTCATTTTTTATATTTTTAATTTGTATTATTATTATTATTATTATTTACATTATATGTTGCGTATGAATATTTGGATTTTATATATATAGGGTATAACAAATGGTTTGACTTATATTTCAGGAGTGTATCGTGAGAATCCTATGAGAAAAACTTGATACGCTCCTGAAGTATCAAGTCGAATCTTTTGGGAGAAGCATCCTGTGTATATAATTTTGTTTTATATTAAGATTTCTATTTATATATATATATATATATATATATATATATATATATATTTTTAAGTAATCAATATTTTATTTTTTATTAAAAATTCACGATATTATTCATTGGTCTATCTCAATATTTTATTTAGACTGTAAAAAAAGATGTCGAGGACATTGCCAACTGTCGAGAAAAGAAACTATTAAAAGTGGAATGCCCAATAAAATGTTCTATCGAAAAAGATGGTAATTATATTGAAAATATAATATATTAATTTAAATATTAAATATTATGTATGAATCATTGCATTTCGATTAAATTTCATAAACATATATATACATACATATTTATTTATTTATTTATTTATCTAATTATACGATTTTTATTACTTATGAATAAAAATTTTTTATATATTAATAATTATTTTTTTTTTTATTTTTATTATTTAAAAATAAAAATTTCATTGTCTAGACATACATATATATGGTTTTTCTAGATATAAATATGGTTTTTTTTTTTTTTTTTTTTTTTAGGTTATACTCCAAAAATATTGGATGTCAAAACAGACATAAGATGGCAGCCGCTTTACAAACTAACACAATTTCCAAAAACTAATAAGAAACGTAATGAAGAGTTACGAATGGTTACGAAGCCTTATCTCCATGAATTGAACACCTGGTATGCTAAAAATTTACCGACGAAATTTCATTTGCCAGTAAAGTGGGAAGGGAAACGACCAATAACGGAATGGCGATTTTCGCACATGTAAATTGTTTTCTTTTACGTGCAAGCACAAACATAAAAAATATTTACGATTTATTAGTGCATACGCACTCTTAACTTTGATAAGTGATTAGAAAATGAAAGAGAAAAGAAGACAAAAATTGTTCCAGAAATTATTCCTCTTTAATTTTTTTTTTGTTCTATAATTTTTATTTTTAATAATATTAATTAATTTCTATCAAATATTTTTTATGTTATTAACAATTAAATCAAATGAAGATTTTAAGTATGTTAACGATAATTTCTTCGCCTCTCCTTAGTAAAATACTTTGTTCCAATCTTTTTCACACATCCTATATATAATTATCGAATAATCATATCTTTATTAAAAAAAAAAAAAAAAAAAAATAAAAAAAAATAAAAAAAAAACGATCTTGTTCAAAATTTTTTGTTTGAATTAAATATTTTTTTAGGAACACACTATATACGTATCAAATAATTTATACTTTTTTTTTACACGTAGGACACCCTATATAATCTTTTTCTTTTTTTTTTTTTTTTTCAAAATCGTATTTTAACTTTAACAAAGAACTTAAACAAATATTATAAATCTCTTTTCTTTATTTATTTATCTATTTATTTATTCATTCTATTTGAAAACATCAAAGTAAACAATCCATTTCCTTATTCTTTTTTCTTTTTCTTTGATTATTTACATATTACCATGTAAAAAAAGAAAAAGAAAAAAAAAAGAAAAAGAGAGAGATAGAGTGAGAGAGAGGGAGAAACGAAAGCAAGAAAGAAAGAGAAAAAGTAATTTTTCTGTCTTACATTCGTGCGTCTTACATTCTCTTATTCTATTATTATTCGACTTGAGTCACGTCGCCAGTCAGAAACCACAAGAAGAGATCTCCGATTATGTATCGATAGTCTCGATATTTAATGCGACAACGAATGCGCAAAAACGATGCGCAAAATGATTCAATAGAAGAGAAGAACGCTCTACGATGACACACTCTATCGGACGCACGTGGTACTATTTTATTACGTGTTACTACATATATTGCGTCATCCTCTTTAAAAGAAAACATCGTAAGCAATTAACGAGAAGAGAGAGAGAGAGAGAGAGAGAGAGAGAGAGAGAGAGAGAGAGAGAACAATGTTAATAATCCTTTTTTTTTAATCGTTAAAAAAATGTTCATAACGAATTTTTTTCCATTCGTTCGATAAAAAAAAATTGTTACAATTTATATATATATATATATATATAAAATAAAACAAAAAATGGAAAAGGAAAAAAAAAAGAATATCGAAACAATATTTGTTATTTCGTTAATTAATTTGCACATTGATATTAATAATAATTCGAATGTATATGTTGATGAATTTTTTTTTTTATGAAATATCAAATATCCGTTTTAATATAAATGAAACATGTATACGTGTATATATATATATTTTTTTTTTCTTTCTTTTCCTTTCATCCTATATAACGTTAAGTTTTCTTTTTAGTATATACTAATATATCTTCACTGAAGATCGTATTACGAATATTTGCTGATACTGTGTTGGATACATTCGTGGAATTTGAAAACTAAACGTTGTAATGTAACCCGACGCAATTCAACAAATAAACATAACCTCTTTTTTACTCTATCAATATTATTTTTTCTTTTATAAGTATTTATATATTTTCCGTCATTAATGTACTTACCTTTGGATTTTCGAAATCCACGTCAAAGGTATTTCTTCTGTTTAACATTTTTTATTTGTTCATTCATTTTTTTGTAAGGAAATAAAAAAAAAAATAAAGAAACAAAAGAAAAAGCTAAATCGTAGGATCCAATTAAATAGAAAAACAAAGGAAAAACAATATGAATTTTTATACTAATAATGTAAAAAAAAAAATATTGTGTCAACAATGTACATTAATGATGTAAAATAAATTATAACGACGTAAAAAATATTCTTTCCTTGACATGAAATACGCACTTTTTTTTTTTTTCTTTCTTTTTTTTTCCTTCATTCTACAGTGTGTTAAAAAAGAAAAAAAAAACTGGTACATACGGTATTTCTCTGAGGGAAAAGAAATATAACAATATAAGTTCAAAGAACTTTCAATTTGTCTTCGATTCAATTGATAAAAAGGAAGAAAAAAACATATACAAGGTGTTTCAAAGAATTCCTTTTTTAAATTATATAAGGTATACAAAAAAAATTTGCAACGGTCTGTGACGAATATATATATATATATATATATATATATATATATATATATATATATATATATATATATATATGTATATGAATTATACAAATAAATACAAAAAAGAAAAAAAAGATTTTGGCATGCTCCACAAGCTTTATGCAATTTTATATATAGGGTGTTCAAAGAAAAAAAGAAACGAAAGAAAAAGGAAATATGTAACAGATTACTCAAAAAGAACAATAAACGTAAACAAATATTCCTGGAAGAAAAGAAAACAGGTTTAACAAACTTCAAGTCATTCCTTGCAATTTTATTTGCTAACAATTATTATTCCCATTTTCGTCATGTTATTATCATATTTACGTAATAATAATGTACCAGACACGCGTTTGCATGAATCAACAGAAAAAGAAGGAAAAAAAAAAAAAAAAAAGAATATGTCACCAGACTCTATTATTATCGTCAATGGATTCAATGATCGGTGATTCGTGGAAGATAAAATATGGCGGCGCCTCTGACCATTTAGCTTTGAAGTTAAATTTCGAAGCGAAACCGACCTAGCGCTCTTTTAACGCTTTCAACAATGTGACATAGACATAGAGTATTTCATCATGCATTATACTTCCCACGTGTCGGTCGGTCTGCTGTCTGTAGTTTTTAATAATGTGTTAGTAAGAACGTTCCTCGGCCATTGCCATCTCACGAACGATGAAATTCACTTTGTAAAATATAAGTAGAAAACGTCCTACGGACGGAGATATTATCATTTAAACACATCCCACGAAAATTACTTGCGTCTTCGATGTCATTAAGAGGAAAAGAAAAAAATTTTTTTTAATAAAAAAAATATATATATATATATATATATATACAAATTTGTTTATTTTATTTTTTTTTTTCGGAACAAATCGCTCTATTTAGAAAAAAAAAAAGAATCGAAAAAATGCTAATGAGTTTTTTATACTTTCGTCGAACGTTGACATTATATATATATATATATATATATATAAGAAAAAGAAACAGGAAGTGATCGATGGCCAAATCAATTCTTTTTTTTCTCGAATGAATTACTAACTGTTCAAAAAAAGAAGAAGAAGAACCAAAAAAAAAAAAAAAAAATAAAAGAAGTAACATAAAGATGAAAAAGAAAATTTTTCTATAATAATAATAAATAAATCGAGAGTCAATATGTTTCGCGCCTAAAAATTTAAATGTAACTGCTCGTTATACGAACCGAGGCGCCACAAGTGGCCGATCGGTGAAATACATTCGTACAATAATGCGAAATGCTTAGCGTCTGGGAAGAGTAGAAGGAATTGGAGAAGGTGGAAGGAAGGAAAGAAAAAGAGAGAGAGAGAGAGAGAAAGAGAGAGAGAGAGTGGGAAAAAGAGCCCGAGAGAGAGAGAGAGAGAGAGAGAATGAGAAGAGAGAGAGATAGTAGAAAAGTAGTAGGGTATTCACTCGGCGGGCTCAGTCGTGCTTAGGACGGCGTCGCGTCGAGATTGTTCATAGTCAGGGGTAGAGGGTTAAATTCGTGTTATTTGATTGGTCGATGAGAAAAGCATTAGCTTTGCCGACTTCCATTTTATTTTTTTGAGAACATTAAGAAGTCTACGTTTTTATCGTTATCGTTTGGCCCTTTTTTTTTTCTACAATCGCATACACGCATACACAAAACAAGCGTATATACATATATATACATATATATATATATATAATTAGGCGTGCGCGCTCGCGCGCAAGTAAGACAAAAATAGATTACTACTAGCCAGACTTTTCGTCCTTTATTCTTACGCGTAATAGTTTACTACTTGGAAGACGAAAGAAGCAGCAAGTAGCCAGGAATGAGTCAAAGGTAGACTGCCAAAAGTAACGGTCTTTTTCCTTCGACTTCTCACACACGAGGTATGTATTATATATATACATATATATATGTGAATGTGTTATTTTTCGTTATATATATATATATGTACATATGTGTGCAGCTAATGCATTGTGTGACTTTTAAAAAGAAAGAATTATTTCATTTTTTTTTTTTTTTTTTGCCGAAAGAAAATTTTGTATACATGTGATATATATTGTATCGAGTTTTTGTATTTTCTTTTAAGCTTTTATTACTTTTACTATATATATATTTTTTTTTTGTTTTTTCATTCGGTCGATAATATATCACAATAGATAAAAAATTTTTTTGTCGAAACAGATGGTGTTTTTCTTTCTTTTTTTTTTTTTTTTCTCTCCTTTGAGATGTCGTCATGTCTCACATTAGTATATCAAATCAGAATGGTTAATTAATAAAATCATGTTGGAACGTGTCTATTCGATCATTCTTTCTCGGTCGGTAATATCTCATAATTGGCGAATTTTATTTATTTTTTCTTTTCTTTTTTTTTTTTTCTTTTTTAAGTTTTGTTTTATTTTTAAATCGAAACGAATGACATACTTTTCTTCCGGTGTGTCGTCGTCGCGTGTGTCACGTTGGAATAAAGTTTTGGAAAAGAGTTCGTTAAAAAATTTTCGAAAATCTTTAAATATATGTTCAATTATTTTTCTCGATCGATAATATTTCATTATCGATAAGAATTTTTGTCTCAAAATGATAATTATTATTTACTTGATTTGTCGTGTCACGTGTCATGGTGTTAGAATCGATTAAGAAATTGTTAAAATGAGGATATACAAAATTTTGGATCATATTTACATCATTTTTCTCAGTCGGTAATTTCTCATAATCAACGGAATTTAGTATCGAAACAGATTGCTTTTCTCTCTCTCTCTCTCTCTCTCTCTCTCTCTGTGTCTCTATGTATGTCTGTCTCCGTCTTTTTGTTTTCTTTTTTTTTACATGACGTATTGTATATTATAATTAAACGAGACTCATATGCGTATTGTATTTACTTTATTCCTTATCATTTTCTCTATCGATAATGTTTT